TTCCGGACATGGGTCCCTATACTCAAATGTTTTCTACTGTTGCACTGAATAACCCCTAGAAGTTTGATCCCATAGTTCTGAAACACCCTGTATATAAAATCACACAATAATGGAAGTTGAACATAACATAATCGTATCTCACTCACAATATAAAAAAAAATTAAAGAAAGTTTTTTTCTTAAAAACAAAGAGCGAGAGAAAATATTTCCCGGTTTACGACAAAATCTGTTTAAAGAAGCTTCGTAATCGACGGTCAACTCCGCGAGAGAAATACCAAAGAATGAAATGGAGGCTGAGCGATCGCGGCTATTAGCAGCACTCGTCTCGATTGATCACGCGATTGCTCGCGAAACGCCACGCGATGCTGGAGAAGCACGCGATAAATTAATTACGTGGACCCCGAGAAATATTAATCGCCCGGTGAGAGGCCCGATGATTGTTCTGGTGTGACGTACGCGCGGAGGGCTTTCATTGTCGGCTGAACGATTCTCTCGCCGATGGCGACCATCCGATACCGATATCGCCGCGTCCGCGCGACGATCTAATGAATTGCTCAGCAAAGACGCGCGTCGCGAATGCTCGCGCGAGCGCGTGCTGCTATGCAATTGATCAAGATATCATCGTGTCGTTGTTGCGCGCCCGACGCACGCTCGAAACGGGAGATGTGATATATGAAGCACGAGCCGATTGTCTGTTTCTACGGCGTGACGCAAGAGTGAAAGCCCGCTTATGGGACACGCGTGATTAATAATCGCGCGGTTCGCGCGCGGTCCCGCTCGAAAAGTCGAATACGAAGAAACGCATTCGATCGAGAGCCGCGCCGGTGCTCGCCGCAATGGCTTTTAATCGCCGTAAACGCTGCCCGCCGCGAGATATAAATTATTCCGTTATAGCTAATCATCGATGCGCGCGAGCGACGATTCAGCTAATTTAGCGATTAGCCACGCTGCAACGGAGAGCGGTATAATAATATTTCGATCCGCCGTGGCATCGCATTGTCTGCCGCGTGACGGAAAAAAATTTATTGCGAGCCGTTTACAAGGAAATATCACGAGCGCATCGGTGAACGGTCGCTCGCAACGCGATCCGATCGTCAAATTCATTTCTGTAAGTTGTGTAAAACTAACATGTAACTTTGCGTGTCTTTGTTTTTAATGCAAGAAACACAACACGCTCGTCGTATGTAATAAAAGCTACTAGTTTTCAATTTATACGTACGAGATATATTGACAAAAAGTGACGAGACAGACATTTACGGGACATTTACTGTTGGCAAAAGAGCGATGTGCGTGCATTCGCCGAGACACGCAGCAAGTCGCAGTAAAATCTTGCGCCGCACCCGCGAGGTCGATTAGGCGCGCACGGACGACTCGATTGTGTGTGCGCGCGTTTCGCCGAAGAAAATATCTTTTTCTCCCTTGCGTTTTCGTGTCATGGAGGAGCAACGTTTATTCAACGGTGATTCACGGTTCCTTGCCCTCGCCATTTCAGTAATGGGTCGTTCATTAACCCTTTCGATAGATCAAGTCCTCAAAAAGCTTTTAACTTAATTTACAAGGAATACAAATTCCGCAAGTTTTACAGAAAACCTACGGAATTGAGTTTATTAAGTAATATGTTTCACCAAAATTTATTTATTTAAAAAACACCATTATCTTATCATGTGTATATTTTTTATGCAAGTATACATGAGTATATTGTTTTTTTTTTGTTATATTTAACATTATTCGAAACTTGTGTAATCCGCTTCGACTACGAGGGCCCGAAAAGTTCTTCGAACGTTCCTGCCAATGATCGGTAGTAGCTTCAACTTTCCATTTCTGGCATATCGCGATTCGCGCCGCGGAACGCGCAATTTCATCGAATATCTCGTAACTTTCTGCGAGATAAGGGAGAAATAATATTTTACGAGAGCTGAACAGATATCTCTTCACACGATGTTCGAAGATGTTTCCCTTTCCTTTCCTCATTAGTCTATTCATCTTTCCGGTTTTCTCTCCGTCAGCGATTTTCCGTCGCCTGACTTTCCTCAGCGCGAGCGTAAACAAGCGCTAAGTAATGATCCAAGCAGGATATTATTCCTTTTTTTTTTGCGCGGCCAGCTCTATTAAGGGAATCGTTAAGGTCTCATTAAATCGCTGACCGTAGGCGACGGAGAGACCGCGGCCTTTTTAGCACCGACGACATTCCCGACGAGGTTCCTGCGGGAATGTCCGCGCGCGGAACGTCCACCTCCGCGCTCGGATGTTCTGGGTTTTATGCGCGAATCGGACGCCTCGCTCGCTCCGCGCGCAGAAAACGCGACGAGTAAAGTCGTTATGCGGCACATTTGCAATGTGCGCTCAAAGATTCTTGATTCATTATCGCAATTAAATTAAATTCTCAGAAATTTGTTAAACTAGCAATGAATTCTACAAATTTTTGTTAATTTCTTAACTTGGTACAAACGAGAGCTCCTCTCGTTGCGTTGCGCAGATGAGAATCTGGGAGAAAAGTTTTAACAAAGTATATATCTCTCCGGACGGATTCACTTATGGAATCTCATATAATGTATCGATGCAACGAGAGAATTTCAGATATTTATTTATTATTTTTTTTTTTTTGCAGTTTTAAGTTTCACGCGCGCGCTCAAAGTGTGTCATTAATTTCCGCACGAACGCCCGACTGCGCCTCGAAAGTGAAAGACGACGCTTCCGCTCTCATTCTGTCCCCGCGCGCGTTCAAGAAAAAAAATATATATCGCCATTTACTCACCACGCTAGTTATCGCGACGATATCGACGAACATGCTCCCGTCATTTGTCCCATTTTTGTCTCAAAACATTTGCTCGCCTTTACATTTGTTCACTAAAATTCATACTTTCTCGTTATCTTTCACTGAGAAATTGTTCAAAACCTATTTCGAAACACATCGAATAAAAATTCACGAGAGCTCTTTCTCTCAGATTCGAATATTCTGTCAGAAACCCAAAAGCTCTCTCTCTCTCTTTCTCTACTGAAGAACTTGCTGTCGATCTCGCAAGCTTTGATCAAACATTCGAGATTCAAGGTTGATAAACTCCGATGGGATCGGAGCTTGCTTGCTCGACACACATCTCGTGGTCGCCTATCTGTAAAGTATCGGATCCATCGTCGGATTAACGGGAGAATCGAGCCCGTCTTACTTCAGGGAGGACCGCAGGATCACGGACAAGGAGGCGAAGGAGCCCGTCAGCGGCGCGAAGGAGGACGAAAAGGGGGGACAAAACGTGGTGCGCGGCACAACGGGTAGGAGAGGGCACACCGGGGAAGGGGACGGCTCGCGGATGGCAGAAGGCGGTGGCGGAGAGAAAGGGGGTTCCGGCAGAAACAGGGGGCAGGGACGGGAGAGAGCGGGAGGAACACGCTCTCCTCCGGTGCACACTCTCGTGGTGACTCCGACCGGCAAAGTGCTCGCGTTCGTGAAAGTCCACAGACGACTTTCAGGGTCGTCTGCTCCGCGCGCTTCGTCGTCGTCGTCGTCCGTTTCGTCCCGAAGCCGGCTGGCTTCTCGCCCGAGAGATAGCCACCTCGAGAGGGAGAGGAGAGACCGGCGCTCACACACGCACTCCTACGAGTTTCGGCGAGTCGCGAGCACTCGCGAGGATCCGCGACGAGAATCGTTTCCCGTGCTTCCTCTCCCGAAGGAACATCGGAGAGAGAAAAAAAGAAAGAGAGAGAGAGAAACAAAAGAGAAAAAGAGGGAGAGAGAGAGAGAGAGAGAGAAAGAAAGAGAGAGAGAGAGAGTTCCTGGCGACGTTATACGGCGGAGTGATCGAGAGATTCGGGAAACGTGATCTTGTGCGACGAATACAAAAGATTCAACGAGGTTGCGAAAGAATTCGGACACGCGATCGTTGTGCCTGCTCCGAGGTGATTTTCCCGCTCGCTAGGAAATTCCAGTCTCGTCTGAGAAAATCCGATCTATGCGGAAATCAGTATATATATAAAACCGCAGCTGCTCGAGAGACGAGGAAGAGATTCGGGCCTGAGGGATCTGCGCGAGATAAGTCGGGGGCTTGCGTACTTCGTTCGAACATTTCACTTCGTTGGAAATAAAATCGTCACACATCTTTTCCGTGCCATTTCGAAAGTCAATTCTGAAAGTATATTCGAGCGCTAGTTAATAAAAACACTTTGTCGAATGACATTTTATTTTCGATGTGATATTTTTCGGGCTAAGGAAATTTTAAAGGTGATATGGCATTTTAAATGTCAATGTATCCAAGTGCTCTCAGTGTTGATCTCAGAAATCCCAGTAGACCTGGGTAATTTAAGTGCTCGTGTAATCGCGTATACACGGTGTATGACGAAGGATCAGGAATCGATCGACGGTAGCCGTTGGGCTGGTACGATATACGCGAATAATAATAGGTTAGTGCTCGTACACTTAACTGTGCGTGTCTCAGCGCGGCAACGCGCCTACGTTTCTCATTGAAACCTGAAGATACGAGAAGAGAAATAATAATCTTGTGTAACGCGACGTCGCAAGAAGAAGAAAAGCAAGAGAAGAAAAAAAAACAGATTTTTTTTTCTTTCCACGAGGAACGAAAAATCTCTCCGTCTAAATGTGAAAGATTTTTTTGGCGAACAACTAGTAGATATATTACTTGTGATTTACATTGGAAGCCGCCGAAATTTCGATAAAGCGGAAAAATTCCCGTCTTCAAGATTCCGTTTCTCGCGAAAATGACGTCCAGGTTGCGCGGTCCCTCGGCAGTAAAGGATACGCCGAGGACCGCCTCCTTCGCCAAGGACCATTTCCATCGAAGCGAGCCGGAAGTGCACTCCGATCAGTCATGCAAGAACGGCGGGCGCGGCAATCGTTATCACTTCGGCATGTCGAAGCAACACGACGACAACAAAGTGGAACGGAACGGACGGGAGAGCGGTAAAGAAACGGAAGAGGATAACGCCGACCTGTTGTACAGGAAGAGTAGAGAACATTTTGCCTCCTGGGACATCAAAGATATCGTGGACGATACAAGAAAGTCAAAGAGACAGGATCTCGATGACACGCGACTGACAAATGGAAAGTTCAGAAACGAGCCTGTGAGCGCGAAATTGGACAAATCGCAACAGGAATATCGGGACGAGGGTTACGTGGGATCCCTGCCGAGAGAGGATCAACAAGGAAGCGAGTCAGTCGAACGAGAGGTTAACGGTCCTAATAGATCGAGAAAAAAAGAATCCTGGGAGGAGGAAGCGGAACCGAGAAGCCGAGGAAAAACGTCCAAGATCATCGACAGGAGCAATGCGAACGACGCGCTACAGCCGGTTGACGAGAGAGATATTCTGCTTAAGGAGATCGAGAACTTAGCTATCGATGGTAGTCAGTCGCCCGATCGCAGGATTCAGGCGATGATCGAGCGGTTAAAAGCGCGGGAAGAAAGCAAGTTGCGATCCAGAAGAGAACAGAGATCGGCGAGTCCCGAGAAAGAGGCGCACGGGAGAACGAGAAGCGGCGGCAGAAACGACTTGCGATCGCCGGTCGCCGATCATTCGTTCGATAATCGATCCAATGATCGCAGCAGAAAGCAGAAGGACGATCGCGATGAAGAACGTAGACCGAGCGAATTCAAACTATACGGGAAATCCGATCGAGACGAAGAGACTGCAAGTCGACGCGATCGATCGACCGATCGGAGATCGAGGAGCATCGAGAGGCAGGACGAGGATCGGAAACCTCGAAGAGACGACAGTTTACGAAAAAGAAACGACGTGTACGGTGTCGAGAAAAATTATCGAAGAAGATCGAAAGAAGATGAAGAGAATCAGCTTCGATCGAGAGACAGTTCGAAGAGAAGAAGTTACACTTACGAGGGCTCGCCGGAGGAATTTGAGGTGAAAATACAGAAGTACGATCGAGCTCTCCTCGAGCCCAGAAGAGATCTGGACCGAGGTTCGCCTAAACGAAGTTCACCCAGAGAACCGAATCTGATCAGAAAGGAATCTCTGAAGGACTACGATCGGGAACCGGTAACTAAAAAAAGTTCCTTCAGAGGGGAATCCAAGAGAGGAACCAGCAAAGATCGCAGCGAGACTGGTTTAACGAGGAAAACGTCATTTAAGGATCAGGACGAAACGTATAGAAAGCACGTTTCGAAGAATCAACAGGAAACCTCCGTCAGATACTTCGGCAAAGATCAGGAGGATTTATTCCGCAAGGATGCGAATGTGACAACAGATGGAAAAAATTCCTCCTTCAGAACACGAAATTCTGAATTCAACAGAACTTTCCCGAAGGATCAACAGGACGACGTGAAGAAAATCACTTCCAAGGAAACACATGCAGCTGGAGTGAGTAGGATCGTACTGAAGAATTTCGATGATGAACCAAGTAGAAATGACTCATTCGGAAATGCGAACGAAGATTCTGGGAGAAAAAACTCATTTAAGGAAAAAAACGTCGAGTTTGGTGAAACTTCCTACAAAGATCGCAAGAGTGACTCAGACAGGAGGAAAAACAATCTCAAGGACGATGACGAAGAATTCGGGCGAACGACCTATCGCGATTACGAAAACAACATCGACAGGAAAATTGCGAACGATCGTTACATCGAGTTCGGCAAAGTGTCGTTTAACACACAAGTCGACGATTTACGCGTGTCGAGTCCTTACAAAGAAGAGAAGGACGACCACGAAATTGTCAGAACGAGTTCCTTGAAGGAGCGCGACGCGATGTTCTCGAAGAGACCTCCCGTATCCTCGCGGAGCAGAAATCGCGACGCGTTCGACGTCGAAAAATCAGACAGACATCTGAGATCGTTAACGCCGCCGAAGAAAGACGAGCCGGAGTTGCCTCAGGAGGATAATAACTCCAAGGATTCGAAGAACTTCTGCGCTAAGTCCTGGTACGAGAGCAACCGGTTGTTCTCCGCCAAGTATCTGCGGGATCACAGCAAGCTGCGAAATCCTGCGGAAGCGCGAGTCGACGATGACGTCTCGCCCGAGCGTGGATTTTCAAAAGATAATGATCCCGACGAAGATAACTTGCAATTAGAGACGCGCGGCAGGATCGACTCGGGCGACGGCGAGTCGCCGCGATTTTCGACTCGCGAGCGCAACGGGGCCACGATCATCAAGATCCGATCCGAGGATCCTGGCGCCATAGTGGAAAGACGCCGGCGGCGTCGTCCCGCGCAGGAAGTCTGCGTGGTGAGACGCAGAAGATACGAGGACGACGACGGGGACAGCGACGAGGACGAAGATGAGGATCGCCGGCGAAGGACTCGTAGGGACGGCGGAATCCTGCCGGGCAGAGGCGGCGGAGATGCTGGCGGCGCGACGCCCTCGAGAACTATCTGGAATTATCGCGAAGGGGTATGGCACTTTCATGAGTCAGTTGCGTTCGATCGGTCCTTTATGGTACAGAAACGCGAGGCGATTTTCATAAATCGCTGGAGGAGATAAGAGAAAGAGGGAGATAGAAAGAGAGAGAGAGACAAGGCAGTGACGTTGATCGTTGAAGATAATTTCCGAGAGAAGAGAGAGCTCTGGCTCTCTTGTTCTTTCTTTCGAACCCTATACGCCGTTCGCAAGAACGATGATATAGTCAAGGCGATTGTGTCAATTTTCCGCCGTCCCTGGAATTCGACTCAAGCGAAATCCCGTGTGAAGGTGAAATTGTGATGTCGCGTGTGGTCGTCGTCGCCCGGAGAGAGAGAGAGAGAGAAAGAGAAAGAAAGATCCGTGTAATCCTCGTTCTTGCCTTCGTTGTACGTAGAAACGTAGGATAAAACGCGGCGAGCGACTGGTCGCGATTAAGGAATGCTGTCCGATAATAATCAATACTTTTGCCCGCAAGCAAGAATATTACTTACGCTCAATTATGATTTAGGCGTCGAATCAGATTTGAATTTTATCCGATGTGTCGCGCGCATGACTTATGAGTATAACAGGTGTATATTATTCAAAACGGATAACTAAAGCATGAAAAATTGCCCGACGTTACGTGTGTACTCTATTAGCTTATAATTGAGGGGTGTAATAAGCATATATAATTGTAGATTATTAGTAGAAATTACTGTTTGAGATACGTTGATATTACGAAATTAGTGCGCAAGTATTGTTAAAAAGAGAGAGAGAGAAGAAAAGAGACGCAGTCTTCATCCTTCATTTGTTTATAACTACAATATGAATAAACTTTACAATATTGTTCATATAACATTTAATATAATATTAATATTAAAAATATAATGTAACACACTCTTCACGTACATAAACGTACGTATATATAGTCACTGGTTTATCTAGTAACGGTTTTTTTTTCGGGGAGAGAGAGAATTCGAAAGGTTTAAATATATATACAGGTTTGCGCGATGAAAATATAAGTCGGACTGGTTTGGCTCGCAATGTTGCGGTTTCGTACGCATTTCACGCGCTTGTTTATCGGTAATTTTCCACGATCGTTGGTGAGCGAGAAGCGGCGGCATTGTTATCTCGGCGGCCGAATACGAACGAACGACCGAATCGCCTTTGGAAACCTTTGCGCAATATCGCACGGCCTCGTGCACTAAAATTGCAATTTGCCTGGAATTTCGCGATGGCCGTTTTACGGTCGAGAGAGCGCGATACCTTAAAATTAAGCGGCTATTATTGAAGACGATAAGTTTCGTAACTTGAGTATAAACGCAACATCTCGAATTGTACACAGCAGCAGTTTTTATTAAAATTATCCTAAATAATATATATCAGTCTTGCCAATTTTATTCTCCAAAACCCTTGCAAAAAAACAAAAGGCGCCTCACTCATTGGTTCGCTTCTTCAACGCTCTTGTAACTCTAAGAAAAATTATTTGAAATAATAATAAAAAAACAACGCATTAATTTCGTTCATTATATTAATTTCTATTTTCATATTTCAATCTCGCAGATGGACAATTTCTAAACAATCATTCTTTTGTAATAATTGAACAGGGAGGGGATTATTAATGTCCAACGCTTTATCTCGAATATCGAGACAATATCGCGTAAGTTTCTTAACAAACTTCCGTAATCGTTTCAGATCCATCCAGAACAAGCAATTTATGTAATCTCCATTTATCATCCACGCCCATTTACGTTCACAGGGCGCACAAATTACGCTTCACCGCGGCTCAATCGGATTAAGTGAAAGCTAAATACCGGTAGCCAGACTGCCACCGTGGCTAATCCTTTAAATGGCAATGACGCAACAACTGTTTGCGACCTTAATCGTGAAATTTTTGTAAAATCAATTTCGTCATATCGCTCTGTTGTGCGCGATTGTGAGTCTCCATTTTTCCAATCGGTTTTGCAACTACCGCAGTAAAGATGTTCTCTTTCATTGTGTGTCGACTAAAGATTCGCAAATGTTTTCTGTTAACGTTTACTTTTTTCCAAAAATATCCAATTGTTATTGCTTTATTTGAAAAAAAAAAAGTTAATCGTTAGTCAAAGAAGAAATAAAAAACACTTCGAGACACAGACGTGATCTGAGAAATGCAACTTTCGCCGACTTTGAAACAATCGACGTGATTGCGTAAAACGTTTTATTTTTATAAAAAAATAAAACAAATCGAACGTTTTTCCACATCGGGCAGGGAGTACTTATCAATTTGTCGTCGAGTTCGCCGCGTGCACAGGTTTTCAACAGACTTTCGCAATCGCCTTGTCTATTGGCCAACGCGTCATGCAAATGTCAGCGAAACGCCCACGAACTGAATGGCCAGCAGTATCGCGCGTAGGACACGTCGTTACGGATAACATCTCTCCTTAAACGGGTCGCCGAGTTAAAAACGCGGTCTTTGTCCGCGGGATAATCGAGCGATCGCCTCGTTAAGAGGGTAGGTATCCGAGCGGTGATCCCCGTTAGATTCTCTAATCAATCTTCCGAGAGAGTTCGTGGTATTATATTCGCAACGAAGACATTAATTACGGGGCTGAATACGGAAGTAATGCGTGGCAATTTTTATCGACATTATTGATTGGAAAACGCGCCCGGGATATACACGCAGGCGTATTTTATATAGTTTAAAGCTAAAAGAGAAAAAAGCGTATATTAATACTATTTCACGTTAAGAACATCTATTTCTACAAGCTATTTTTCTTTTTACAACCTCTATTGTACAAAAACAAATAACGGAATTGTTCGCGACCGATAATTCGCAAATGCTCTCGTGCTGATTTCTAAATGCGCCGCGAACGTGCCGGCGTTTTAACGACAACCGTCTACGATCCGCTAAAACAGCGATCAAGCGAGAAAGCACACAACCGTAGTATCGAACCGGAATCGCGAAACTGCGTTCTCGCTACAATTTTGCGTTATTACCGCGGCGCCGTTTATCCCGTGACCGCAAACGATTGGAAGTACTTTTCACGACGTTCGCAATGTCTATTAATTCTCCAGGTGATCCGTCTTCTTGGGCAATGTGTATGTATGTGTGTGTGTATTTGCAATCACGGTAGCATCGTTTAAATCATTTCAAAACCTAGTTTTGCATGCGAGCTGCGGACGGGTGAAAGGTCCTTTAATGCGTCTTTTTTTGTAATGCGAGAAATAATTAATCAGAGTCATATTGACGCAATAAAGCTTTCTGTAATTTTAATAACTTTCAACACGAAACCGCATTATAAGAGAGAAAGAGAGAGAGAGAGAGAGAGAGAGAGAGAGAGAGAGAGAGAGAGAGATTGCGATAATTGAAAATAATTTCTTGTCAGACCTTTAATCATCGTGCTTCCCTTTCGTGCTTCTCTTTCGCGAGCGTGCACGTTCTCCTTAAAACAGTCTTCTTCAAACTAATTTACTTGGTATCGAGACAACCTCCACGGACTCGAAATAATTGAACACGAGTCTTCTTCTCCGTCCGTCCGTTTAATTTTCATGCGATCCACCTTGACATCGCGAGGAAAAGAAGCCCGGACCTTTCACCGCGAGATGAGTCAGGGCAAAAAATATGTTAATTGAGTGATGTTCGGCCGCTGGAGCCTCATTAATTCGGGATCGCTATATATAGAGGCAGCTAGAGACAGATCGGCCGGCACACATTTTCCAATACGCGTATAGTCTTCTACGCGATATTTGGCGATGAGACCAAGCGAACGAGCAAATCCACGTGGGCGAACCTACCATATACGTCGGCCGGAAGGTTCTTGAACGCATCCAACGCGCTTCGAACTTTCCTCCGTCCAACGCGATGGATCTCCTCTTCTCCTCCGTCCGCGTTCCTAAACGCGAGAGCCGGCAACTCTGAGCAATCAGCTCTCCCGTACGGCTCTGGATACGAACAATATCCGATACTTAGCGGTTCCTTTAGTAGTGGTGATCTACGATCTCACGGATCGGCATCGATCTTCTCCTATCTTTCTCCTCACTCGACGATCATACATCTCTCTTCTCCATTACGTACTTACAAAATATATTTCTCGTTTGTTTACAATTTTTTCTATGAAAACATTTCTTATTTTATAATTCATGGTTTTTTTTTTTTTTTTTACACATATGGCCATGTAGATATATGGAGTTTATTCAGAAAAGTTTACATATCTGGAAGTGTGTATAATTAAACATGTCAACAGGTTTTCGATTATAGTTCGATCTTATGCTAATAATCCGAATTTATTAGATATTTAGCATAATTTAATTTAGTCGCACAGTAGCAAAATGTCTTTTCTTGAGAAACTGCTTTATGCGTGAATTTGATTTCCGGCGATTGCGTAAGCGAGAGGAATAAACGGGCTGTCAAAAATACTCGGGACACTTCGTAAAAATGCGACGGCAACCGGTGATTAAACGTGGCGTGGCGAAACGGGTGGCCATTTTTATATTATTTTACGTCGCAAGAATCCGATTATCTTCAAAACGAGGTAATCGATGTATTTATTATTATTGTTTTCTGTTAACGGAAACTGTAACACGAGAGAGATGGTGAGATACACCAGAGGCAACCGGGTACGATGACAATGTGTAATACAGTTTATTACATCCTGCTCGTTTATCGATTTATCTTATGTGAGAAATATTAAAATGCAGCCTCCTTTCTCTTCTAATGACAATCTGCGCGATATCTTGTACAAAGATATAAATTTCCGGATATCATTTATTTGATGTGGTACAAACTCTGGCATGTGAAATTATTTTAATAATTCGAACAGTCTCTTCCTTTTTAAATTGAGAACAAAATTATGAAAAACATCAACTCTCACAGTCGGCAACAAAGAAGAAACAAGAATGTTTTATATATGCAAAGTCCGGCCGAATAGTATGTACAAGCGACGTGATTCCTCATGAAAAAATAATATAGAACAAAGTTTTTTCATTTTCGGCTTAATTTTCGAGAAAATCGAGTTTGTTTACAAACACGCGTTAAACGTCACTCGACGAACCGTGTCTTAGCCGCAGCGGATTTTTACACTCGATTTTCTCGAAAACTACAAAAATAAAAAAAACTTTCTATTTGTTTTTATTTTTTTCACGAGGAATCACACGTTGTGCTTGTTCATATTATTCGGCCCGAGGCTGTATATAAAAAATGTTATGTACACACACACACATATATGTGTGTGGCGCTACATATACTATAACTAGAAAAAACATGACAACAAAATGTGAAAACAAAAACCTAACCACATCTTCGAGTTGTGTTTAGATGTGGTTAACGTGTGTTTCGTGTCAGGCTCGCCGACACATAGGCGATTGTTATTGCAGTCTATTATTAGCGAGAGACGAGCACTCATTAGCGGTTCATCGTCCGCGTACGAATGGGGGGATAAACAACAGCGGAGGTATCGTGACATAACAAGAGACTCGCGCAATTAAAAACTTTTCCCAATTACACGTGTATAACGCGTTGTTCCGCCGGGACCTTGTCCTCGTTCGCACGTGTCAGTGAACATCATGCATATGCGAAACGACGCAGGCCGCGTGTTATTCTTCTTCATCGCAAAGAAATAGCGTTGTGATATTGTCGAGGCGGCAACTCGACTCTGTTCGAGGGAATTAAAATGGATGATTGAGACTTGACATCGATTGAGCAATAATGTATGTCGGTACCGTTACATTTAGGCATCTTTATTATATATATATATATATATATATATGTATGTATGAGATCGCGAATCGTCGTGGAGTCGCGCGGATTTATAAAACGTTCTCGCGGCTGACATTTGCAACGATGAAATCCAAACCTTTCACCGTTTTGCAATTAAATGCGATTTCATCGGTTGAATCGCGTCGTTCGAGGACATTTGTTACTTTTGTCTTCAAACTCGGACAAATGTCGCGCTCTGCGACAGATTTACACGCGCGAAAAATTAAATTTTAAATCATATCGTTGTTTTGTTTGTTTTTCACGTTTTCTTTTCACAAACTTGTTAAATTTATTATGTGTGTGTTTTTTTTTTCAGGGCGTTCTTATCACCGACATGGAAGAGGGACAACCCTGTTTGCAGTGCGGCGAAAAATGTTCCGGATTCTCGCCGCATACTTGGAGGTAAGTGAAACGTGATCGCGAAAAAAAAACGATCGCAGTTATATCGAAAATCGTACGCTTCCTCTAGTTTTGAGAAAAACGAAGTTTCCGCGATGAGAGAGGCTGTCCAACGCGTTTTTATCGCGAAAACGATTCCGTTATCCGCAAAAGAGAGAAGTCGGATTTTTAGCGTGGGTCACGAGATCGGATTGCCGAATCATTCTGAAACTGTTAGGTTTCGAGCGATCGCACGGTTGTACACCCTATCTATCCATTATCCCGGTAGCGTAACTCAGCAGCGGTGAAATTACCGCTCGGTAATTATCCTCCGTAACTTACGGTCCAGCAATGCGGTAATAGCGAATTAATTGCTCGAGGCATCGAGGGGAACGAAGGCGGGGCCCCGCCTTCCAGCATCTCTCCGCTGCAAGGAGAGAAAGGCGGGATACATCGTATCGTGTAGTGCATTTATGGCATGAAGATGGATTCACAGTTACATCCCGCCTAAAGGACGAGTCGAGGCACGCAAAGATAGCGTGCCGCGGCGATTGCGACTGCAATGATCGGTATGATGTAGTTTCGCGAGTAAACGTTGCTATTATAATCATCTTTATTTGGTAAAAAACAAATCGAGAAGTTTCTAGTTTTATTTTCTACCGAACGCGCGAAGAAGAAAAAGATTTTTTTTCGTGTTGTTGTCCGTGTTGTTCGTTAATATCGCTCGAAGTAGAAAAAGAAAACAAAAACGCGCACGAACAAATCGATGTCAAATCGAAAACAAAAAACAAATTATTTAGCTCGTTAAAAATTAGTCTCGTTAGGCTGGGGAAACGAAACAACAGCCTAATTACGGAAAGAAAAATAGGCGCGATTGTACGCGAGATCGTGATACAACGAAACGCGCGTTGTAAAAATAAATCGCTGACATTTACGGATGAGGTGACGCTCTTTTCAAGGCATCTCTTCCTCCCGTTCCGGCCTCAAATGATTAATAACTGCCAATCGCCGTTGACTTGTTAGAATAAGCAACTGTTGCATAATCACCGGGTTCGTGCAAACCATTCATGATTATCTTCTCCGGTAGCCGGCACGACGCAGAGTTCTCCAGACGTCGAAGATCGCAATGAGCGTAGGACAGACGCACCTATGTGAATAGCACACAAAGAATGCGTTATTTTAGAATTTGCAATATAATAGTTAATAATAAAATAGAGAGATACAAAAGTTGCAATTAGAACACACAATTATGATGTGATTAAAATTATTTACGTATTTCTTACGTGTCTATATTTATGAAAATTCTCTTTTGCTTAGTCTTAAATTCAGTTTTTGTTTTTATAGTTTTGTCTCTGAATAATTTTTGCAACGATCGTAAAACTTAACTCGTCGAATAATACTGTCGCAGTTTTGCGTTATAGAACACGGACAACCTTTTTTTTTCAATTTTCAGTGTCTTATTTTTCTTTTATTTTTTTTTCACGAATCTTACATCGTTTTATAGTCCGTTAAAAAGGGGTAATATAAATTGAAATCGCCGCGTTGCGCGTTCTAAAAGAAGTAACGAGACGTTTCGCGCGCGTCTGAGAATGTTAATAATAATAATAATAACAATATACAATAAAGCTGTGCGCCGACAGAGAACTATTCGCATGTGTCTTCGACTGTCATCAATTATACGCTCGCAAAACTGCGCGCGTAAAACTGCGAATGTCCACTTTGGCGATTTGTGTCGCTCGCCGGGGGATGTAAAATCCGATTGATTTACGACGGGCTGTGCCAATTCAAAATAAAGCTCCCTCTCTCTCTCGTTTTCTCTCTCGCAGCCGCCAGAGATCTAGCGCGCGGCTCTGCTCTCCGGTTTGGCGAGTTTTGACTATCGATGACCGGCGCCTCCTCGAGCACAACCACGTTACGCTAGTATTTATAGATTTATAACGTATCAAGCGGCGGTCGAATGCAGCGGTGGCCAATTTCACAACTCTGTCGAGACGTCGTAAAGTGCATTTTAGCGAGCGGACGCAATATTTTACACGATACGTAGCAAAATTACGTTAACATTTCAGTAATAGCTCTATTTCCAAGAGATATAATATTAACACAAGAATAATTTCCTTTCGATATTGGGAAATACATTTTATATGATACACGTGCGTTTTCATAATTAACACACATTTTTTAAATGCAATCGACAGCTGGAAATGTTATATAGAACATAGTTCGAACTTTGTCTCGCGAATTGTCGCGGATAAAAAATGCTGTTCGCGGATGGTGACTCTCGGATCATCGAAATTTCACGTCACCGTTCTATTTTTTATTTCGTTATTTCAGTGACGAAATGAATGGGTTCACATCTTTTTTTTCTACGCGCGGAACAGACGTGCGCGCGACGAATTTTAAACGTATCTTTCGTGTACCTATCTCTATTTTCGCTTCTCTCACATCGCGTCAAAGGAACCCTAACTCTCGGCTCAGTTTATTTCGAACTCTTCGCGCGCGATTGTCGGGAGCGGGACAGCCGACTGACAGCGAGCCGGGGAGGTACACGCGACGTGTGGTACCTTTTCGAAAAGGCTCGTAAATAGCCGGTTTCTTCAAAATGACACACGCGTTATATATCGCTTATTCGCATCTAAATTTGTATGTTTCCCGATGCAGTGTCGCGACAGTCTCGAGATTCTATCTTTTAAACGCTGACAAAAAGCTGCGCGCGGGCTGATGACTCCCGGAAACGAGAAATCAGCGCGCCGAACACAACTTTCCTTATTTATGAACCGCGACGCATATGGTCGCGTCGTACCAGATGCCCGGGATCGTTACTGGCACGCGTGCAATACGCGCGCAACGCGCGTATCGTAATAACTTAAGTGGGTACAGAGTACACAATTTTATCATTTTTTTTTTTGCTACGCTCACGATTGCAACAGCGTAATAAATTCGCAGATTATCCAATCGTGCACTGAAACGAACGGACGCTCGTCGACATTCCTCTATCTCTCTCTCTCTCTCTCTCTTTCTCTGACGTCAATAATACACCTATCAATCTTTACATATTTTTGGCGATGCAACACGAATTAATCACTTTGTTTTTCTGTAATATTAACTTCCAACACAATTTTTTATTCTTCAACTGTCACACAATTGCATAGACTTTTATCCAACAATTATCTCAGAATAAAATGTGCGATCGATATGCGTGTCTCGCGTGGCCGCGCGCACATGTGTGCCGTAATCCGGGCGTGTTTCGCACGCGCGCGCACGCCGTGAGTCACTCGCGCGCGGCCACGGCTCCCGCGCTCTCGCCTGCATCGCGCGGCTCCTCTCTCGAACGGCGAGGAGCACGCACGTGCTCCGACGGCGATATATGCGGTGGTGTGCGACCAGTGCAGGGCCGGTTGTTGGCGGGCGCGTCGCGGCACACGACCGCGTCCCGGATTCACGTCGCTCCGATATACACAGAACCGACGACACGCTTCCTCGGCACCTGCCGCCGTCGTCGTCGTCGTCGTCGTCGTCGTCGTCGTCGTCGTCGTCGTCGTCGTCGTCGTCGTCGTCGTCGTCGNGTCGTCGTCGTCGTCGTCGTCGTCGTCGTCGTCGTCGTCGTCGTCGTCGTCGTCGTCGTCGTCGTCGCGACGACGATGCTCCCGCGCGCCGCGCCGCCCGACGTTCCGATCACGCTTGCTCCAAATTCCCGCACCGCGATCAAGTCCGGCACATTCGGATCGGCTGCTGGCGCGTTCGCCCGTTGAAAACTCGGCTCGGCCTGTCGCCGCGAGATGCGATGTGTTTTTGTTTGCGATCGAGATTAGACGGTTTTAACGGGAACACATAGTGGTTTTGTCGGTTCCAAATCAGATTTCGAAATGAAATCCGAGGCTTGTAACGTCTCGGGAATCGTATGCGTTGAGTGATTCGTATAAGAGAGCTGTTGTAATTGTGTGACTCGCGTAACGAGATGGTTGTACTTTGCTTTAGTTTGAACAACAGGAAGGTAGAGAAGACATGTGTGAAGAATATAAAAGTGATTTAACGAGAATAGTGATACGTATTAAGATATTGCGCATTGAGATTTTTTAAAATTTGATTGATAAAAAGAGAAATTTTACTTATAAAATACAAGTGATCGAGTGTTTCACCTGAAAAAACGAGGAAAGCAAGATTAAACCGCTGCTTACTCACTTCACGCAATTTACTTTATCTTATCTCAAACTTTTCATTTTAATCTACTCGCGTTAAAGTCATTCTATTCTTTTCTCCCGTTGATTTCTCAAAATGCAATAAATCGTTTTCTTCTTCTCGGAAAGAGAGCTGCGAACATTTGTAATTTACTCTTGAGACTCGACGGACTTGACCTACAGCAATACAGAGAGAACATAAAAGAGATTACAATAACATATAATACTTTGCGTGTCTAAACACCATTTGCAGAGACATTAATATACTTAGATTAAATAAATACACTTCTGATTATAATCAGAAAAAAAATTAATTGTCTTACGTTGCAAATTAAATTCGATCAAAAATTATTGTTTTAAATATCACATCAATCATTTTTCAGAAGTAAAAAAAAAGTTGAATCGAAATAACATGTGTTAAAAATTTTGTATTTAAAATGTGTGAATATGTACAATTTATTTTTTTTTGTTGCAAAAAATTAATATCTCGCAAGACAATTAAAAGAGACAATTGTATACAAAACGATATAGATTGTAACTTCCGAAGAAAGATAAGGTAAGACTGTAAGACTTTAGTGCGCACACAAGTGTGATACCGCGTATGCGCATTCGATTGTGTTGTACGCGTAGAATGCAACAGGTGAGATCAGCTGGCGTCGTTATCGTTTTACGTTCGGTGAACTCTCTTAATCTGCCACACGTTTGCAAAACTTACGCACGTGAGTATGAGACTTGACAGGTGCGTGTCGATGTGCAATTCTTTCAAATCATCATCACGCTTTGACACAGCTTGAATTTAATTTTAGAAAATAATGCTTGAATTTTGTGCGATAGTTGAATACGCTGTTGTTCACGTTAACTCGGCCATTCAAGAGATATTCAGTTATAAGATTCAGATCCGTTCGGATGTCTGCACCGTCTCCGGGGGAAAAAAAAGTGTGTGTATTTAATCCGCTTTTATACCAGCGAGCTTTTATACACTCGCGGTTAAGGAGCGGATTGACTGGCGCAACAGCTGTTTTCGCTAATCCTAGTCAAAGTCTACTTTCACTAAAACACCAAATTGATTCATATATGATCTCTTTATTTCTCAACTTGGCAATATATCTCGTATAAAAAAAAACACATATCTTTCATACTATATTACATACAGGGTAGAGAGTTTTTATAATTGCGAACAAAATTTATGATTTCGACCGCGAAATTTTAATTTCTTTTTTTTTTTTTTTTTTTAAATATTTCTTACTCGAATGCAATTATTTTTCGCATATATTTTCTGAAATCACGCGCGCGCGCACCAGCTGAACAGGTTTAGTTATTTCAAACGTTCAAGCTAAGAAAGATTGCATTCTACGATATCACGTCTCCTAGGAACTAATTAAATGGTTTCTGCGGCGGTCTTTTGCCGCACGAGGCGGAAACGATATCAATCTAACGGGACTTGATCAATGGATTGATGGTTGCGCGCGATCGTAACTTTAGCGGAGTTTTACACATTCGTATGTTTATAAAACAAAAACTTAATTAATTTTCCCGCACAGTTTTATTTTTATGTGTTACATAATATTTACATGTATGTATAGTATAGTTTTTCAATATGGGCGCGTGGGATGATACTCGGATCTTCACATAACTAACTGCAGGAGGGACGCTTCTCTTCACGTTCCGCACGATTTAAGGCGAGAGAGCATCTCGTTCGACACGCATATGCGTCTCCCGCATTCTCCCTCTCTCTCTCTCTTTCTCTCTCGACTCATGCTATTCTTAAATCTGGCCACCTATCGCGTTTTTAAACGCACTAAACTCTGATTTACGATACCCCACCTTCTTACGAAGGCACGATAAAAGACTATTCTCGGTGTCGGATACCAATAACGATATTGCCTGCACTCTTCCCCTGAACTTACGGTTAAGTGCCATGAAGGCCGATTTGTGATCTCTCCGATACGTGTTGCAGCTGCAACGCAGTACTATTCCCGCTATAGTTTTTAGTTCGACATTTCTAAAACAGGTACTTTTTCTCGTTTTACATTAGAACACAATCTTCGTCAAAAATCTTGAAGAGGAAAAGAAATATTTTTCAAGGAAGAACATAATTTCACTTTTTTAATATCTCCGTCTTTCTCAACGTGTATTTGTAATTAAAAAAAAAGAACGTAATAAAAAAAAAAAAACCAAAAGTTTTCCACGATTTGCCAATAATCTCCTCGTCGGTGCTACTCGATTTCCGCGCGAATTCGCAGATTCATCGTACGAAGACGTTCGCGCGATTGTTCCCGTGCAATAATTGCACGGTGGAATTATTATGCTTGACCGGCTGCACGCAGGTGTGTATGTGTGCTATGTTGTTGCGTGTAGATCTTGGGCATATAGCTCACCCACGCGACGTACAGTGAGATCACCTTTATACTTTAACTTCTTAGTCATGGCCGCGCCGTGGACTGTCGTTGAGCAAAAAATAATGCCTTTGCGAACTATCCGGGACCCATGGGAGCTTCTCTACCTACTCAAAAAAAAAAAAAAAGAAAAAAAACTACGAAAACGTCCCTACCCACACATTTTGACGTCATACATTTGTCGCAGCGCAAGTTTGATGTTTTCAGAAGTGAGAAAAGAAGTAAACACACACTCTGTTCTTCCGCTGCATATACTCGTTATTTTTATTTATTGTCACCGACGACTCTCGCGAGCGCGACGTAAAATTTAATAACGACAGAAGATTAATTACATTGTGAGACACACACACACAATGCAAGATCTTCGTGTATACACTTTTCTTTTGTTCCGATCGTTTGTCTCGCGGTAAGATCTCGGTTATTAATGATCGCTATCCTCGCGACGTTCGCGTTTTTCTCTCTAACGGTGCGGCGGCGCACCGTTTCCGCATCGGAAATGCCGAAGGGCGAGTTTTGAAAGGAAGTTCTGAATCCGCGCGCGCGCGCGTGACACAGGCGCGCACATACCGCGACGTTGTTGCGTGTGAACGTGCCAGGTTGACAAATTACTACAGCTCCGCGTTGGACACTTTAGATTTGTGCTCGCGCACGCACGCACGCACGCACGCACGCTGTCATCGTGCTGGGATGTTTTAATTTGCCGGCGCGTGAGGACATTGGCCGGAACGTGGACAGACTTTTTACAGGCGATAATAGACGATCTTTTCATAACTGCGAATTTTTTCTCGATAATAATTCATAGACGTAAAAAACATCCAACATTTGGATCTTCCTCCGAGAAATCGCAAGCGGAAATGGAAATTGTATTTTAATACACCAGTTCCACATCGCGAGACGGGGCTCGTTACACTAGTTCGCGGATGAAATAGGACGGCGATTAAAAGCGCTGTCGTCAGATTTACAGTCAAATCTGGGCGCGGCCGGTTATAATCCCGTAGGCCGGTTCTTGGCCCGTGTAATTTGAGAGCTTCAGGGAAAGGGTAGACAGCGACATTTCTGGTAAATATCGTGTGCTCTCCACATATACATATCTAAATATATATATATATATATATATATATGTATATATATTATCGCCGGCTACCGCCGGAAAGGGTTAAGTCGTTTGAACGATGAAACCATAAGGCATTTCCCAAACAAACCGAAACCCGAGAGACTTTTCCAAGGATCGCGTGGTATTTTCGCGCGCCGCGAGAAACATTTTCTTTCATCTTCTTTCTCTCCCGCCAGCTCGCGCAGGAAGGTCAAATCGAGGATGTTCCGCCGCGTTTATCGAAATAAATAAACGCGGTTCACCTCCGCGCGTGTGAAGAATAGCGACGTCAAATATGCTCGTCAAAGCTTCGATCGGTGTCAAAAATCGACTTTTGTCGAGTATTCAAGAAAGCGATATCGTAGATCGTGTCGTGTGTACGCGAGATTTTTTAAATCTACACCATCTTTCGAATCGATTTTTACTTTCGACGAAAGTAAAAATTTATTTCGCGAATTAAACTCTTCACTCTTTGTCCGAGCTTGAACGAGATCCGTCCACAATCTGTGTATTTGTGCAATTAATGTCGACGGTATCATCGTCGCTTATCACCGTCGGGCGGAAAAATCGCGCGATACCGTTACGGCATCGCACGAACGAAGCGAACGAGCCGAGATCACGATGCGTTTATCAGCCGCTTGACGATGTAATCGACCGATCCTCTTCCCGCGCTCCGCGGGAAGAACCATTTCCGAAGAGATCACGACACGACGCGCCCGCCCATTTATTACGTCTATAATGCTCGGCGTTAATAGCCTCGTCACGAATTCCGAGTACACACGGTCGTCGTGTAATAGAGACATAATCGACTTTAACTTTACGCTTCGCTTGCGCGCTCGCTCGCTCGCTCGCTCGTTCGCTCGCTCGATCGCCTCTTAATATCACGATCTGAAATAATCGTCGCAGATCTTTGATCTGCGCGCGCGCGCGCGCGTGCGCGTTTACGATTTTCCTCACGAGCGTTTCTGCCGACGGAATTGTATCGTATCGAATTTACCCTTGTAGGAATTGACGAACGGCCCAGTATTGGGTCAATATCGGCAAACGAGGCTCGATATTGGTACGACAGTAGTAGCCAGTACTGGGCGAATATTGGTCCTGTCTTCTTGCCAATACTGGGCCAATATTGGTGCTGTCTTCTTGCCAATACTGGGCCAATATTGGTCCTGTCTTCTTGCCAATACTGGCCCAATATGAATGCCGAACACTGGTGAACAAACGGGCCAATATTGGGGTGTTATAAAATACAAAAATGGGACAATACTGGACCAATTGTCAATATCGAGTATCGGCTATAAAGGTTGGGCCATTATTGGCCTAGTAGTATTTTTGGAAGTCTGTCGGCAATTCCATGGGAATCGATGGAAACGGAATAACCAAATAAACTTACTACTCAAGATCGGCCCCTTTTGTTTTAAGAGCGAATTCTAACAGCTATGTTAAAAGTTGCACGATTATTTCAAGATCTTGTCGTTACTCGCTTTGAGATACAAAGTGCACATTTTCACCGCATCGCATTATGTACTTCATCGTGTCAGTTATCCGACGCGTAGACACGCGACATGCCGTGTATGCGTGTTTGTCTGGGCGAAGTGCAAACGCATAATCACGTCGTCTCGTCGCTCCCCTCGCTTCGTTGCCGTCATACGGGAATGCAATGCGTGGGTGAGAGAAGCATGGGAGGGAGCTTAGGATCCTCTGCGAAAAGCGTGTCGTCCTCGGTTTACATAAACTTTGTCACGTGCGCTTAAAGAGAGATGGACAGTGAGCGAATATATTCGTCAAAAATCAATCATTTTCTCTTTAGCCAAATCATCTATACGCTTGTTGCATGTGTGTATAAATGTTTTTTTTTTTTTTAAACGCACATTTGGTTATTTTTTCGATTTTCTAATTTTGTTTGTCTACAGTTTGTAATTTTAAGAGTGTAACGAAAAACGTTTCACAACGTGCGAATGCACGTGTCGGAAGTGTCAATAAATAAAAACGTCGCGAATTTAACGCGGATGTCCACGGAGCGAAAATTAAGATTGACGTGGAAATACGATTAAATCAATCTTGATGATGCTCCGTGGGGCGATTGTGACGCAGCATGATTGAAAAGACTTGTAACACCGGCATCAAAATGAACACTCCAATGCACTTGAGATCGTTAATCCGTCGCTCTGTTTTACTCGAGATAATTCCGATTCGAGCGAATGACTTCTATGTGAGAATTCCGACTCGTTATTCCTGGAGTTTGCTTAATTGCAGCAATTTCTCTGGCGTGTGGTAAACAAGAATAGTTTGAAATTGGCGTTGGTTGGAGATATCCGCGCATTGGAATGCGCGTACACGATTCGACAGAGAAGCGCACATATCTCGCTACGCGCAAATTGTCAATACTATTTAAAATTCGTCGTAAATAAAGCGCGTATCCGGTTTGCGTGTGACCAGGATTTATATTTGAAGACGCGCGCTCTCTAACGTACTCGGGCTAACTTAGCGGCGCGTTCGTACGATAAGTTCAAAACGATCGGATAACCGACGTTAAGCAATATCCACGGACAAGACGCGCGATAAATTCCTCTTATTATATAAATTGAAAGGTGGATAGACGCTCGCGCGCGCACGTGGGCGTCCATTCATTCGCGACAGACACATTTGCTTACGTACGTATTTGCTGCCGCTGCGGAAATTTG